TTATGTAAGTCTAAAGTCAAAAAGTTCTAAAATTTCTCTGGAAATTTAAAATTTTAGAAATAAAATTTATGTTTTTAGTTACTTTGATGATGCCACCCAGTTGAACACACTATGTAAAATATGTGTTAAAAGCTTAGGAGGTTAACCCTTTCCAGCACGCTACTTTTTAAAGTCGGAGTTTTGATTTAAAAAAAGAAAAAAAGGTAGGTAGTCTAATTAGGCCTAGAGGAGTACACAAGTAAAATTTTGTGAAGATAGCACTTATCGTTTTAATTCTGTGGCTGTGCCCAAAGCGGGCACACTGATTGAATAGATCTTTGAAAAGAGTGCTGAAATGAGCATTGTTGTGAATGAACTGACCGAAGAGATGCAGAGAAACAAAAGAATACAGACTCAGTTGTCCTAGATTATCGGTGAGCCCGGTGTGGGCACACCTAGGGTTCGCCGTTTGATTTTAAACAAGATTTCAAGGTAAAAATTTAAAACTAATATAGAATAAGGAGATAAGCATACAGCCAAAAACATAACATAGAAATTTCTTTTCAAACAATTCCTTTTATACTCTAAAAAAAATCTGGAAGATTTCTTTGAAAAATGAATGTCTTAAAAAACTAAACATGGCTAAAATATATGGACTTGCTTGTATTGAGCTGCCATCTACTATAAATAAAGAAGGTTCAGAGTAACCTATAGTAGCCTATAAATCCTTTTTCATTCAATTTTTCTGTGGGTACAGAAGGAAATTTTTAGGTGTGTCCAGGCCGGACAAGGGTTAAAAGACAAACTTCTGATTTATATTATATATCGGCACCGTGGCTGAAAGATGCAAAGTTGAAGTTTTAGTTTGAAAATATAATCAAGTAAATACCATTTACTCATTGCCTTTTAGGAATGTTTACAGTTTACAGGCAGCCTTTGTCTGTTTGAAAGGTAAATAACAGGAATTAAATTTTGCAACAGAATATTACGAATGTAGAATTTAAAAGTAAATCCTTATGTTGTGCATCTTAAAATATGAGGTCTTTAAGGCTTGGTTAAATGATGGCTGTAGTATTGGTTTAAAAGTAGTTATTAGAGCAAAAATATTGGAAGACATAGATTGGTTTTTATGCATTTGTAAAATTTTTTTAAAATGGCAGTACTCTCCCTCCCAAAAAAATCTGAATTTGAAATGGAAGTGTAAATCTGCTCAAAATTTTACTTTTAGTTATCCGGTAAAAGACTTGATATATAAAAATGCATTAATGTTTCATGTTGTTCTCTAAAATCTACATCTTCTTTTGAAGTGTTAATGTTTGAGCCCAAGTGTACATAACATGTCTGGAAAGTAATACAGTACAAAGTCCATAATCAGGACTCCTTGGGACTTCTGCGATTCCGGATTAGGGTTTTTTCCAGATTATAGATAATCAATTTAAATTTGGTAAGATGACATGCAGAAATTATACAATTAAAAATATGAAACCGTAATTTATGAAATAAAGAGCAATTATGATTTAATATTTATATTATGATTTATTATAAAGGCTATTAAAATTTACAAAAAAAAGCTTAATATTTATTTGTTTACTTTATTAAACATTTCTTTCAATGTAAGTTGCTTAAGTTGCTTCATTTTTTGTGCTAATACTTTCTCCTTCTTTCTATAAATTGACATAATTTCTTGTTCAGGTACGAAGTTCCTTTGTTCAAGTCCTGTAATTGCTATGTCAAGAATTCCGACTAACTTGTAAATCGAAATTTTTTTTGTTTTCTATAACCTCTTTGTTACTTTCTTCACTATCGGTAGCGATATTTTCTGGATTTAGAACCATACTACAGATTTTGCCATCCGTTAATTGATTGATGATGGGGGGCATCGTCATTGCAATGACAAACTTCTGTTATATCATCTTCATTTATTGCCACTTCTTCACATTTCTTTGTAAAATCCATTAGCTGGAAAATTTCACCTTTAGTTTGCGATATCGGAAAACCTTCAAATTCGCGGCTATCATCTTCATCATCCTCACCATCAAATATGTTAGCTGGCCATAAATTATCCCAAGCATTTTTCAAAGTATCTGGAGACATCATCCCACGATATTGCGATGCCCCGTGCAGCAGGTTTTATGCTAAAATATTGAATAGTCTTGCAATTGTTCAAGAAATGTAACATGGATTTTAAAAATGCTACTTTATATTTGCATTTCAGCACGCACAGTATTCTGACATCCATAAGCTAAATGACAGACCTACAATTTGTAAGAAAGAATAATATGGATGTACAGTCAAAAGTCTTTAATCCGGACGTCCATAATCCGGAATGATCTATAAACCGGACTTCAAAGCTACAAACTTTCTGCACATGCATAAACGCTGCGATTACGTATGCACATTTAATGTATAACGGCCGGTATAAGCAAAGCCAAAATTATCTAATTATCTATTTCAGTTAATGTTGCAGATTGCGTTGTTCCTTAATCTTCGAATTGGATCCGGCTTATTATTTTTTGCAGACTGTTAGGGCAATTTTATAAAAGTAAGCTTGAACTTTCGATTATGTCAAAATGAATTTCCGATGCTGGAGCTGCCAAAGGATTTACAAAGCGAAAGCATGTTTCGATGTCCATCAAACAAAAAGTGGAATTGCTGCAAAAAATGGATAAAGGCATATCCTTTGTTTCTCTAACTGTTCCGAAATCTCTTTATCAATTTCACGCTGCTCTGCGGGGGGAGGGGGGGAGCATCGCGGGTGCAATAAACTGGAAGTTGATCGTGTCAGCACTATCCTTATCTTCAGGGCAGATTTCTTTTTTTATTCGGCTTATAATTCCTTACTAAATGTAGTATTTCATCTCGATGTACTCTGTCTTTGATATGATTTAAATCAAATTCCTCGTCATTATGAATACACATCAAATAGTTTTCTGGTTGCAATTTTCTAATTTCGTCTATGGGGTAATGTATGCTTTATGCATGCATGCATTAAAAGAAATGTTTAATAAAGTAAACAAATAAATATTAAGCTTTTTTTAAATTTTTTAAGTTTTGTAAATTTTGATATGCTTTAGATCATAATTGCTTTTTATTGCATAAGTTACGGTTTCATATTTTTAATTTTATAATTTCTGCATGCCATCTTACCAGATTTAAATTGATGAATCCGGAAAAACCGATAATCCGGAATCGCCGAAATCCCGACGAGTCTGGATTAAAAGTCTTTTGACTGTATTATCTTTCACTAAAACTTTAAGTGAAGAATGAGCTGAACAGTTTTCTACAGTCAGAACTATTTTTGAATCATCAGGTAAACCTCCCAAATTCAAATGTTGCCAAGCCTTGGGTATAAATTGATTTTCAAACAAGTCATTCATTAATGCTTGTGTCATGCATACTACGAGGAAAATTGTTACTCTTTTAAATGCTCAAGGTCATGTATGTTTTCAGATTATGAAAAGTTTGCACTTGTGCTTTCCTGTCGCATTTGCGCACACTAAAATTGTTAGTCTCGCTTTGGAATCTTTGACACCAGTTGGAGCCTTTTCTGTAGAGGTTGGCAAGGTATTTTGCAGTGCATATTGCCAGAAAAGACCAGTTTCATCAGCATAGTAAATTTGTTCTGGAGGTAATTTCTCACTAGTAACAAGTTCAATGAATTCATCTGTAAATAGTTCAGCAGCTCCAGTATTAACTGAAGTCTTTTTCACCTTAAATTTTTAATTGCCTTTATACCATGCGCTGATTTTTAAATTTAATTAACCAACCTGTCGAATGTGTGCACTTCAGTTTTTAAGTTCATTTCTTCATGAAATATTTTGGCTTGAGCCTAATTAGCATTGGACCCATAAATAGGCACGCCCTCGCTGCGATGACTGTCTGCCCCATTCAAATCGATCACTTTGTCATGATTCGTCACTTTTAGCATAACGAGCAATTTTTCTGTTATTCATTGTGAACTGGGTGTTGGAATCCACAGAAAAATTTAAAAAGTTCCTTCCTTTGTTCTTCTTTTTGTATGTCATAGTTGACAGTTGACAATTCCATACTCGCATATATTCCTTGTAGACAGGTATGCCTTATCCATTTTTTGCAGCAGTTTCAACTTTTTGTTTAATGGACATTGAAACGTTCATTTCACTTTGTAGATCCTGTTGGCAGCTCCAAAATTAGAAACACTTTTCAACATAGTCGAAAAGATTCAAGCTTTAATTTTTATAAAATTGCTGTAATCAATAACAGTCGGCCAAAAATAATAAGCTGGATCAGAATTAGGAGATTAAGGAGCAACGCAGTCTGCTACATTAACTGAAATTCCTTAGACTCAGTAAAGATTATTTTAACCTTGCTTTATAGCGTGCGCTATACATTATTGGGTGTGCATTATAAGATTGGCGAAAGACAAGTTTTCCCACTAAATTTAGCCTTGCTTCTTTCGCGTTCTGAATTAAGCCCGAATTGTATTAGTTTAGTTATTTATTATACCTACTTGTATTTCTTGTACGTGCCTAAGACTAATCTGAGTCCTGAATAAATAAACTACATATACTTAAGGGTCGTCTAGGGCCGGCGCTAGATACTGCCTGATGCAGTCTCTGCAGGTCTTTTGTTGCAACAAAGCTGCTTTTCAAAAACAAATTACAAAATTAAAATTTTGTAGTGCCATTATAATATAGACATTAATTTAGAAATAGAATTGATTCTCAGAGTGACAGCTAGCAAGTAACAAATTTTGACAGAACTAATAAAAAATAAATAAATAAATAAATAAATAAAAAAAAAACTGGACAAGTAAAAAATGAAAGGATAGTATTTTTAAGGTTCCTTTGTTCTTTTTAAAAATTGATTGATTAATTAATTATTATTTTTTTTAATTTCACAGTGCGTGCATCTTTATAGCTGTGTGTTTTATATAACTTTCAATGCTCAACTTATCAGTTGTTTTGTTAAAATATTAAGTTATTATATGTTATGTTTAACTGTATGTTGTAAGTATTTTTTAATACAGTTTTCTATTTTAGGTTCAGGATCAGTTAGAGGATAGTTCTGAATCTGTCCAGCCTGTTAGCATAGGAAATAGTAAGCTGCTAAGAGAGGTACGAAAGATTTGTTGTGGTGTTTCAAGCAAAGAATCTCAAGAATTAGTGAAGATTTTAAATGATCCTCATTTAGAGGTACGTTTAATTTGCTCTGAAAAATTTGTTTTTAAAATTGTTATTAATATGGCTGCTCTTTTTGTAGAATAAAAACTATCAGTTCAGTTGTATTATGTTTTTCAGAAAAGCGACTGCTCTTGTTGTAGAATAAAAACTCTATCATTTTTTAGGGTGGTTCAGTTGTATTATTTTCTTGGAAAAGCTTCTAATGTAAAATTTCTCTCAAATTGTGCCAAACCATGTGACAAATTAAACCTCTCAAAATTTTGAAACATGTGAGCACTCATTTGTTCATCCTTTTTAGGTTCTTTTAAGAGGATAATGGAATAGTTTTAAACGTCTTACCTTTTTTTTCTAATCTTTTAAGTCAGAGATAGAAAATCTTGCATGTAGTGTATTCTTCAGTAATACCATTCTTTTTATTTCTGTTAATGTGTTTCTTCTACAGAAACTCACCAAATGCTTGTTCAGAGTTGCCAACTCTAGACGTTCTCTTATTTTTAAAATTTCTGAAGATTTTTATGTAGCTTGGCTTAATACTTCATTATTGGCACCCAAAAAGTGGTTTTTGGCGTCTGAAAGCATTTGCATGCTTCCAAGAAACAGTCTTGGTTATATCTGTGAAAATGCACTTAAAAATCGCATACAGATGACTTTCCTTCTGTTATTTCGTCGAGGAAACGTAATACTGCAATGTGTACTGTTTATCATTGCAATTTTTTGATTTCACATGGTGGAAGAGTCAACGTTCTTAAACATGTGTGTACACAAGGACAACGTGAGTTGTATTGGGAAAAAAGAAATGAAATTTTTCTGTGGAAATAAAGGACAAAATGTTACTAATGCAGAATGCTTCCTCTCTGCCTTTTTACTCAAGCACCACCTGCCACTGAATGCATCGAATCATGCTGAAGCCAATATATTGCATAGCTAATTATTGAAACTTTAAAAGAAAGTTGAATTTCTTCAGGATAATTGCTTAACACTTAGTTCCGACAGTGCACCACAAATGGTAGGCTTGAAGACTGATGTTGCAAGCATATTAAAAAAAGAAAATTCATCTTTCAAATTATGGAATGCACCTCTTAAATTTAACAGTAGCAAAAGTGTCAGCTTCCTTGCCAATAAGTGGGGATGAACACATTGTTGATATTCATTATCTTGAAAGATTTCTAAAGGGAGAAACTGAAACAGTTCCAACAGCTGCATAATACTGAAATAAGAAAAAAATCTGAATTATGTATATACATGATGCTTAACTTTAGAGAAATGTTTATCTAAAATCTTCGACCAATGGAACCCACTACATATATATTTTAAGGAAGAAGTAAATGCTTCTAAAGTTAAGATAAAAGGTTGTGTTGAAAGTTATAAAATAAGCAATTTAATATGCCCAACATCTGGGCATCCACTGGTGGTTTCACCATCATTTATCCACTTTGCATAAATACTAACGGCACATCGCGAACAACCTACCAGTTGTGCAGTTTCAGAGGTGTACTCGTTCCACGTTTTTGGGCTATTACAATTTGCTCTCTATAAAATTCTGTTAGATCAGCAGCCTTTCCCATCGCTCACAGAAAACTGCAATAATGATTCCTTACTTTCTCCAGCAACGGTCAAATGCCAATCACATGGCCTTATCACGTGACATTATCCAATTGAGTTCACTGAAAAATGTGTAGATGGTCATAATGTTTTGGCTTGCCAATGTATATGCTTATATTAAAAGTGTTTTTTTTAATAAAGCTATAATTCATGACAATTTTGTTACAATTAATGGTGGAAAAAATCCAATGTTCGTACATTGCATTGAAAAATGAATGAATTTCATTTCTGATCTTGTTTATTACTTGGATGGAACGTTTTGTAGATATTGAATTTGTTTATAAATTAATGTTTTTATTGCACGTAAAATTAATTTTTAAGTTATGCTTTTAACTTTTTATGGGCCCACCAGCAGCAGAGTGTTAAAGTTGCTGAACACTGGTAGTTCGGTCCAAGGTTCAAATCCCATGAAAAGCGAAACGAGCTAACTGCATGGGCGTTTTCATGGTTTTCCCCATGTTTAACATATATACGGGCCAGTTTTCCTTAAGAAATCTTCAACAAAGCATCCTTCTCCGTAGGCAGATAACCTTCGAGGCTTTGACATAACCATATAAAACAAATTCAACTACCGTATATACCCGCGTATAAGTCGAGATATTTTGGACAAAAAAACTTATACGCGGGGCCATAAAAAATCAAAAGAATCGGAAGTTCAAAAATTTTTTTATATAATGCAGTTGTTTTCTTCCCGCACTCAAATTGGACGACTTATCAAATAAATCACTTACTTGAAGTAACTTCATGTCTTAAATTATGTGACGAACTAATCACAGAGTTTCTCATACTTTAACTAAGTTTCGATTAAGCGAAAGAATTTTCGGCCCCCAAACAAATGATGAATATCGAGCAATAAAAAAGTTTCGCCTACATGCCAAGAAAAGAGAAATGCAAATAGTTTTTACGTACGTATAAGTCTTTATAATAGTTTGTAAGGATTATGTTAATTTTATTAACAGTTAAATTTTAAGTTAAAGTTCCTTTCCTGTCAAATTCTTAACTTAAAAAATCTGAATTATGTATATACATGATGCTTAACTTTAGAGAAATGTTTATCTAAAATCTTCGACCAATGGAACCCACTACGTATATATTTTAAGGAAGAAGTAAATGCTTCTAAAGTTAAGATAAAAGGTTGTGTTGAAAGTTATAAAATAAGCAATTCCGGCCAGAACGTAGTTTTGGAATTTGCTGAATATTTAATGAGAAGGAGCGGTATTTAAACCACGAAGTAACTTACTGAGCCAGAGAGAGAAACAGAGTTTCTGAAGTACGCGCGTCTGCCTTTTGGCCGCTCTCTCTCTCAAAGTGTTATACGCTCGGCCGTACTCAGGCCCTTGCTAAGCTTGTAGTAGTAAAATAGGTTAAGGGGCCAACTCTCATTGTACCTTGATAGCTTTGGCTATACTTAGTTAGTTAATCTTAGTTTTAGTTTAATTCTTAGTCTTTTAAGTTCAAGTCCAAAGTGCGGACTTTATTTGTTCACTCCCAGGTAGAGTTTTGTGAAATCTTATAGAAATAATGAAGGGTTATTTACCCTTCTCTCTTGTTGTTTCCTGTCTTCGAACTCTAGCGATTATTCGCTTATCAGTTCCTAGGTTCCTCACTTCCAACATTAACTTAGAATTTCAAGTGAGGGACCTTACAAGTTATTGTTCATTCATGAAATACTTTTGTTAACAGGCGTACACGTCAAAATTTAAAAAAATAGCCCATGCAATAACTGAACAGTTTTCAATATTCAATTATAATAATTAGCTTTCAAAAAACCTTCTCTTTTAGTGTACGATTTCTTTCGTGGACACTTTTCTGATGAAGTGACAAAAGTGACAAAACACCTAAAAACGACTGTGGGCGTAATTCCGGGAGGATTGACATCCGTCATTCAATCCCTAGATGTCTGCCTCAATAAGCCCTTCAAAGTAAATGTTAGAAAATATTGGGCAGTGTGGATTAGTTCCGATCGACCAACATTTACAAAGGGAGGCAACATTAAAAAGCCCGATATTACATTAATTGCTCAGTGTGTTAAAGATGCTTGGAACGAAATACCCTCTGAAATGATTATAAAATCATTTAAAAAATGTTGTATTAGCAACGAACTAGACGGCACAGAAGATGATGCTGTTTTTGAAAGTGAAAATGATGATGAAGGCTCTAGTAGTGATTGTAACAGTATAGAGTTCGAGACTGAAAATATGTATGATGACGAGCCAATGACGACAGAAGAGTTCTATGAAATGTTTGGCGAATCTGACCATAAATCGGACGTTGAAGGATTTTGATTTTGCTTATTTACCAAGGTATTTTTTATTGTATATTTACTTTTTTTCTCAGATGATTTTGAATAAATGTAGTACTTAAAAAAAAATTTTCGAAGTTTCTCGATCGATTTCGAAAGTGGGGGGGTCGACTTATACGCGGGTATATACGGTAATTATATTTGTTCTGACATTTTATTATAAATGTATTTCTTTGTCATTGACTGCAAATATTTCAGTAACACTAACAATCACTTCGATATTATATGCTCTTTTCATGTAATTAAAAAGGGGATTTATTTGGACTTAACTGATTTGATGATACAGTTGATGATTGCTGAAAAGAATGGTGGTTTAGTGTGGAAATATTGTATAGCAAGTCTTCTTAGTTTGGCAAGAACTTAATGTGAAAGTCATTGAGGAAAACAACTCCTATTATAGCTATAATAGTAATGCTTGGGGAATTTGTGTGTATATATATATATGTAAAAGTCAGATGTAATTGGAAAATTTTTTTGTGTTTTCAAGTGGTACCATAATTAATTTACCCTCAGCACAGCCAACACGCACTATGCGGATAGACTAGAATTTTCTTAAAACACACTTGGCAAATCTGGAAGAGTTGGGGAATTTCATTCGCCTGTTTGGTGGCAACCCTGATTCTTAAAATGGTACAGTCATAAGTAATGCCAGTAGAAATTACATGATCCGAAAACGAGTTTTAAACTCTACATTTAATTTTCTTTTTCACTAGGCAATGATTGAAGCACATGATATTGTTGCAAGCAAAAGGTATGAATCTCCGGAGCCATCTCCTCTCGCTCCTGTTTTTACTACCCCTATAATTCAAAGCAATGGCCCAACAGCTGAAGCTATTAGAATGGTTGGAATACGGAAGACTGATGAAGAGCCTTTGGTAATTAATGACCTATGAGTTTTAATATTTGTCAAAATTCTGAGGGTGAAAGTAAATTTAATTTACTGTAATCTCAAACACGATTATTAAAAATATTACCTTTGGTAGCTTATGAACTGTGATTTTTTTTAATGTATAATTTTTAAGATTTTAAGTTAATATTTGTGCTCAGAATTGAAGCATAATGAAAGTTGATTTAATTTGCTGTGATCTCTAGCAAAAATGTTATACAGTTTATTAGTTACTGTGGATGCATATTCTAAGCTAAAGAGAATCACTTCCATAGACAGTAAAATAGTTGCAGTAAGAAGCAGTGTAGTAACTAAGTGCAAAAGGTTAAAGGAGAGTTTTAAAAAGCTAAACAGTTATGTTTCCTTCTAATCTTGATTTTTAATTCATTTAATCGTATTATTTTGTAAACTGTGTATATGTAAAACCAAGTTTATCTCTTGTTGTAAATGTAATGTAAGAAGCATTTGAACTGTAATAGATAGCAGCACAAAAAAATTATGTTAAATTGTATTGTTGTGAGTTATTCTCTGTATATCTAATACTGGTTTGAAAATTTCAGGGGATTACTGTTCGAAATGAAGAACATGGCCTTGTTATTGCCAGGATTCTAGCAGGAGGCATTATAGATCGCCAAGGTATAATATGAGTGGAAAAAATCTCGTACTTTTATTGAATAAAATTTACCATTTATCCAGTAGTAAGACAATTTTCCCTCTATTAATTTTTCTAAAATTCTGCCTGCATAAGAGCAGATGAAGTAATATAATATGAGGGGGAAAACTGCTATATATTTTATTGGATAAAATTTACTAATTATCCAGTAGTAAGACAATTTTTCCCCTGTTAATTTTTCTAAATTTCTGCCTACATAAGAGCGAAGTAGCTTTTGTCTGTTGTGGGTAGTTCAAAAGGGCAGTGGTACAGTGTGTCTAGGAAGTCCCTATAGACCCACATTGCTCCACAGATGTTTTAAAGCAGTAAAATAAAGGGATTTTTAACAACACAATGCATATCCCAGATGCACTGTAATGGCCCCTCATCATATAATTTGATAATGTGTTTTATTCAAAGATATCAAATGCTATGGATTTTACTTGAAATTAGGCATGTAAGCTTTGTCTGAACTTATTTAAAAATTTGGTAAAATGTTTTTGAGGAATTTTCTTTTTGCCATATTTTCCAGAAACATATTAATGTCTAAATAATAACTTATTAAATAACTGTATTCCATTGGTTTAATTAATGCTGTCCTTGGCTGTGGGCTGGTCGGTGTCTAAAACCACTGAATGTTGGTTTCTCGTCCTCCTTTTTAAGGCTACATTTCCAATTTCAAGCTCCTTTCTCTGAAAAACAGAGAAAAGTTGTGATTTGTTTGTGTTGGATTTTCAGATATCTTAAACAAAATTAACAGCTTTTGTATTGTTTATCAAAGCCAGTAGGCAAAAGTGTCTTATATGTGTATGATTAAGCATAAATTTCTGTTGGTTGGTCCAAAAGCTATGAAAGCCACATGCGAATTGTATTAAATATAAGTATGGATAATGCTACGCAAATCTTTCAAGAGTGTGAATTGCTTTTACATTTGATTCTTAGTTGTTAATCATTTTCAGTCCTATGTTTTGTGCGACTCGAAAAATAATATATCTGCAGAAAAGTTTTCAGACCACATTAGTTAATGCAGAAGGAGTTCATCTGATACAGAGAAATATAAATAAGTAAATGGATGTATAGGCTGGTTACAATTAAAGCAACCATACTCATACCTATATAAAACCCATTTTAAGTGATGTATTTTATTGAAATGTCATGCATATGTCATATATATCATTGGGAAAACTGCAGTGAAAATAATAGTTCAAATTTTGACGGCTAAGTGAAAAGGTGGCACACTAAGAATAAGAAAGACAAACTGAAAGCATAAAACTTTAATCACGGTATTTGTTCAGTATGTATTCCATTTGCATCAGTCGCTTGTTCAACAGTATCGTGAAGGGTTTCCTGAAGAAGTGCAGCAAAATGGCATGTTATGCTTGCTTTCAGTTCAAGCAGAGGACCACAATAAGAAGTCACAGGGATTCAAGTCAGGAGAATTTAAAAAAAAAAAAAAAAAAAAAAACTGGTAAAAAATTACCCAGTCATCTCGAAAATCAGTTCCTTGCATTAAGATAAGTGAGTAATATCTAAACATTCTCATTTTTGTAAGGAAGGGATGACTTTGCTGCAGAAGTTTGTGCTAACAAGCGCTCTTGACAGTACCCGTTTCAAGTAGTGAACTCCTCTGAGAAAAAAAGGCAAAAAAATAAAGTCAGCAATTAAATCTCACCATGCGGTCATGTAATGAGAATGCAGAGGCTGTTCATGCATAGCATGGAGATCTACATTACCCCATATGTGACACTTCTGAGTAGTCATTATTCTGTCCAAAGTTAAAATCACCTTGTCTGACTACAAAATATTCCACAAAAATTGAAACCATCATCAGTGGTTGCTTTCGCTACTAACTGGTGAGCAAAATTAGTGCATTGACACAGCTCTTAAGGTTACAGCTTCTGCATCATGTGATTCTTGTGTGGCTACCACATGCAAATAAATTCCAGAACCATTTATACTGTAGACTAAGGAACACAAAAAAAAAAAAAAAAAAAAAAAAAAAAAAAATCACTCTACTCAGTTTAAACACATGCTGAAGAATATTAGGAACAGGATGCTCTGTCAACCAGAGGTGTAACTACTTGAAATCTGTTTCTGTCATCTAATAATAAAGCAGCAGTTTTTGATGTAATCAGTTTAACCTTCAAGCCACAGCTCCAAGGCTTACGAGTTCTATCCTCGGCCAAGCAGCATCAGTCAGAAATAACACTGACTTTCACAGATGCCCTCAGTTGGCAAACATCACCATTAAAATATCTAACTGAACAGACCAAGGAGCAGTTAGTGCACAACATCACTTATAGATGGTGCCACAAGATTGGCAATTTTAAATACAGTTTGTAGCGATGACTCATGAAGCAAATGCCTTTGCACTATATACTGCATGTAAATAGTTCAACAGCTGTAACGTATAGATATCAAGAAGTAGAAGATTCAAGAAGTATATGTATGTTATTAATATAATGCAACAGTTGTGTTTCATTTGTTTGTTTTGCTTTTAAACTACTTAGAAATAGAACAAAATATTCATCCATATTTCAAAAAGTACAAGAAATGAAAATTAATCATATGAAAGATTCTAATAAAAACTGAAAGCTGGATCGTTATATCTACATCCTAGGAGCAGGAATAAAGGACTTCAGATAGGCAACGAGAAAAAAATATGTATCAGAAGACTCATTTAATCTGGTAGCATGCGAGTGATTTTATTTTTGAGTTGTTGATTAAAACTGCTTTTACTTCATCTTAATAGATAAGAATAATATACATTAGTTTTTGTCTGGGAACAAGTTTATTTGCTTGTGCTTATACAAGGGATATTAATTGTTTGATGTTGACTTCAACTTCTTAATGTACAGAATAATGATTGTTATCTGTATGTGATTTCTTTTAGGCCTGTTAAATGTGGGTGACACAATTCTAGAAGTTAATGCCGTGGAAGTGCATTCTCCTTTAGACTTACAGCAACAGCTACAAAGGTCTATGGGTAGTGTAACATTTAAAATTCGTCCATCAAACACTGATATCATTACTCCAGCTCAGGTAATTAATATTTATTGATGTATTTAGAATATGCAAAATTTGTAGCCTAGTAGAATATTTGGCCATTTAAAAATGCACTTTAAATGGCCAAATTTTTTAATGCACTTTAAATTCCAATTCTTTTATAAGCTTTCTTTATGATGTGTATTTTTGATTTGTTGGTGCCATCTACTATATATGTACTAAAGAATTTAAATTTTTAATTTCTTCAGACTTTTGTGAAGGCACTTTATGCATATGATCCGTCCAAGGATTCTCTTTTACCGTGTAAAGAAATAGGACTTGCTTTCAAACAAGGTGATATTCTCCAAATATTAAATCAAGACGATCCTAATTGGTGGCAGGTAATTATAAAAGTTTCTGTGAAAGAATTTCTTCCTGTTTTGGAAATGCAAACATGTCAACTTGAAAAAGATTTGTATTTTTTGTGCACTGTTTTTCCCTTTACTGATTTTTGAAATCAATAATATATATATTTTAGTACCATATTTAATTCTGAACTAAAATGCTTTATTATACTTCAGGCAAGGAGATTAGATTCTCTTGGTCATGCTGGATTAATACCGTCTCAAGAGTTAGAAGAACGAAGGCGTGCTTTTGTTCGACCTGAATATGATCATGCCACTAAAAGCAGTATGTGTGTATTTAAAATATATTTTTAATAGTCACCATGTCATGAATGTAACTATGACATTGATGCTTGAGTCTGGTCCTGAGTGATAATATTTAAATGTCATAAGCTGATTTCGTTGTAGTTTGTAGGCATATTTTAAAAAATATATGTGCTTGTATCGTTAACATTTGGCTTATGACTGGCATTGCCTTGAATTGAAATTGTGTGAAGTTTGAATGTGAATGATTCTCTTTTTAATGTATATTTTATTATTAATGTAAAATATTACTGTGTAAACACCGAACAGCCATTACATTGTGATCACCATCCATCTGTAACAGTGGGCTTGCCCAGGAACAAAAGCACTGCATGTGCACAGCTGACGTTAAAGTAAATAAAGTGGCTATGCATTGTCTTTCCAAACATAGCGCGATTAACAACATAATGGGAAAAGTAGCTGATTTATCAGATTTTGATAAAGGTCAAATTGTTATGGCTCAGTTACTGGGAACATAAGTATCAGAAATGCCATGTTTAGTGGGCTGTTCATGTGCAGCTGTTGTGAGCACATGTGCTCACAACAGCTGCACATGACAAACTGTCAGTGTTGTGAGCACATGTGTTCACAACACTGACAGTTTGTCATTGCAGCTGCATCTGCAATGGGCCAAGAAACATCCAAATTGGACATTAGATAAATGGAAGAAAGTTGCATGGTCTGACGAATCACGTTTTCTGGTCCATCACATTTACGGGCGTGTGCTAACATGCTGATTTTCAAACGAAACCCTGGCTCTCGGTTGCACAGTTGGACGGAGACAAGCTGGTAATAGGGGTATTATGCTGTGGGCAGTGTTTTCATGGAACACATTATAAGACCCATAATCCTCATAGAACAATCCCTGATGTCTTTGCGCTATGTGAACATCGTTGCAGACCAGGTTCAGTATTTCTGGCTAGGGATGGTATTCAGCAACAGAATAATGCACCATGTCATATGGGTTGAATCATCAGGGAAGTGGTTTGAGGAACCTTCTAATGACTTTAAAGTCATGTCTTGGCCTCCAAATTCACCTGACATTAATCCATTAGAGCATTTGTGGTCCCACCTGGAAAAAAAATTCGTGCTGCCACGCTACCCCCTCACAATCTGCAGGAATTGCAGGAGCAGTTGGTGAATGCTTAGTACCAGATACCTCAGACTAGTATCAGAACCTTGTGGAGTCAATGCCATGCCTGGTGCTGGCAGTTTTGAGGGCTGAATGTGGTATTACATGTTATTAACAGGCTGGCCATAATGTAATGAGTCTTTGGTGTGTTACTGTATTGTAATTATTCCATTTTATCACATTCTTAATGATATGTCCTTAACTGTATACCACAGGACTTGACTCTTCCGTGTTTAATAAAGTAATCAGTCAACTAGTTGCAGACACCTGCAATGTAAACACAGCAGACCATCCATATAATTCCAATTAGGTAGAACTTATTTCCAGTTTACAAACGGTTAAACCAAATTATATGGATATATAGTTTAGTAAACATTACTTCTCAAGATGAGTAGAAAGAGGAATCTGTCAAACACTTTTAACACAATGTAACATTTATACTGTCACTTTTTAAAACTAAACTTTTTAGTTTTAAAAATACATACGTTGAAGAAAGAAAATTCTGTGTTCTAGTAGAAATCGATAAAATTTCTTTGTGCAGAGGGTTTCTCAATGATGTTCCTGTACTCTTCTTAAAACTTTTTCTAAAATGATTTTTTGTACTTTTTTTATTACATCGAAAGAGAAAATGTATGCACATTGTTAAAGATATAAGAACCTTCTCCTTTCCAATTTACAAGAAAAAGTTCGTTTTTGGAATAGAACACAGAGTTAGTCATTTTACATTAATCTGAATGCAGCCACTGGAGTTTCCTCAGTAGCAAAAAGTTTTATTCGTGGTAGTTTAAACAGCCCAGTTTCATCGGTATTGCAGGCTTGATATAATTTTTTTTTCAATGTAATCCTTTTTTTAATGCCTCTGCTACTATTGTATCTGCCAATAGATTTTCATCATAGGTACCCATAAAATGAACTGCATTGGATTTTCCCCACTTGTACAGCCACTCGTTAATAGCTGAAAAATGACACATTATCAAACTTAATCTGTGGAATAAGTGCTTTTATTTTGAAATTTGTGCTATTTATTGGCCCTTATGTTCTTGCTACGATCTTAAACATATAAAGCATTGTCAGTCAGTTTCATTTGTAAATTTGGGGTGTTGAAGAAAGATTTTTCTGTGGTCAACTTAATGCAAAAGTCTTGAATGGATTTATGATTTTAGTGCCACTTGTTCATTATATTCTTTCCTGTTTCATTGTTTTGCCTTTGTTGAACTGTTCTAGAGCATTTAGTTTATGTTCCATCATTTGCTGCATTGCATTTTTGTTTTTCACTTATTTCGTCAGTGCAAGGTTTTTGACAGTAAGTAGAAGTAACTGTAAACATTGCTTGCACAAAACAACAATAGTGCATAGACTGCTTTACTGAAAAAAAGCATTTTGGATTGGGGGAACTGGAGATTAGAAATAAACACTGTATGACCTGCATGAATTGATTCCTTGGCTGAGCAGCGAATTAAGAGGGCCCTTTAGTGTATTCTCTTTTTTCATTTCTTTTGTAGTTAGTTATTTTTGGAAAATGAATGGTTTTAAAATATTTTCTTGGTGTGCACATGAAAAATATTATGCAAACAAAAAAATTTCATCCAATTTTCTAACTTTATGTATGTAAGCCAAGGTTCATACGGTCCATAAGGGTCCTTAAAAGTCCTTAAGTTGTTTGGAATCGATTTCTGGTCCTTGAAAGTCTTTAATTTTGGCCAAAATTGGCAAAAGGTACTTTATTTTAACCATCTGAAATTTGTTTCTGTTTTTATGACTGCCATTTTGAGTGTGAATTAACATTTTGGAGGAATATTATTGTGTTAATGTATTATAATTTGCTTTCTACTTCTAATATAAATGGTGAGATACTCAAGTTTTTGAGCAAGAAGTGAAACATAAGCATTTTGAAATTATTTAATTTTTTTCTAATAAAGAGCTCTTAAACGACTTATCGCTTTTAGGGGTGTGAGTTCTTTTATTATTTGGCGACTTATCAACAGTTTAGCAATTTTACGATTAGTTTCTATAGAAAATTTTTAATTTTGAGATCTGGAAATTTTCGAACATTGATAAACATTATTACAATAATAGTAATATATTGAAATTATATTTGAAAAATAACATTAAAATATAACATTTTAATTTTGCCATCGTATTATAAATATTATATAATTATACATTTCCATTTTGGCCACTTATGCAATATTTTGAATCTGAAAACTAAACAAGGTGTAATGCCATAAAGCGTAATTTATGAAACAGCTCTTAGCAAAAACAAAATAGCTATGTAATTAATTAAAAATATCGTTTTAATTTTTTCATGGTAAGAATTTTTCCCGTTTAATTGTCTCAGAATTCTCAGAATATGCGTCAGTTTTCTCTATAAAATTAATTTTACACCATTTCCCTGTTGATTCTTTTTTTCAAAGTATTTCTGGCTTTTTGCTGTTACAGAATTGGTTGGGATAGTTTTTCTTTAGGATTTTAGCCATTGCAGCTTGGAAAGTCTAGAAGGATTTGAGGGCAAGATTTATTGACCAACAATTCTAGAAGATTCCAGAAAAATAAAAAATGTGACAAAATAAAAAATGTCTGCATGGTATTAACACATAATTTATGTATTTTACAGAAAGTTTGCTACAAATTTCTTTTTGAAGAACGTCTGGAAGAAAATGAAAACATAATATTGAATGTTTTGCTTCTAATACTAGAATCTTTTTCTTGACACGTTTATCTTTCTTTTATTTTCTCTACTTTTCACTGGCATGGAAAGTACAGCAGAATTCCAGAAATCCGTAAAGCTTGGGACCAGAGGTTGTGCGGATTTTAGGATTTTGCGGATTTCAGGACAGAAAAGATAAAGCATAATATTCAGACTAAAAGTGTAAAATGAATAAGGCATATAAGATACACTTAATTAAATTATTATATACACTATCGCGATAATTTATTATATGCATTAAATTATTATTACATATATAAATTGATTGTATTATATGTACATAGCATTGAGGTTTGCCAATTTCGCCTCGTTCAAAGATTTCCGGTTTCACATTCCAGTGTTAGAATCACTGTTGCTGTAAAATTTCAACAGCTTTTCTTCCCCCCCATATATCTTACACAATTGTGTCACAATTCCATACCATTCTGCTATAAATTGAGGAGTAGCACCTGCTTCCAACTTTTGCAGAATTTGCACTTTTTGCGTTACCATCAATGCAACGTGTTTACGTTTTTCAATGGTGCAAGCAGGAAAATCATGAATATGTTTCTTATCTGTCATCGTATTAAAAAGGGCTGAAATTTAAAATATTCTTAATTCCACAAAATATCTGGATTAAAAAAAGGCAGCACTAAACAATCTCGTGAAATAAAATAACAAAGCTCAGAAAATGCAACAACGTGAATCGTGAACTTGAACAAAGAGTTGAGTGAATCGTCTGCTTTTTTACCTCGATGCAGATTAGAGGGTAAAAAACTTATTTATCTTATTTTTAAAACTTTTTTGTATCAATAATTTGGTATTTCCGTTTTGACTCATTATTATTCGGTAATTATGACATCATTATTCAATAATTATTTTTTTCTTTGTTATTTCGTGCTCAATGTTGCAGTTTCTGAAACCTATAACCCGAATGTTTATATTCTGAGAAGCAACGTGGATTTCAGGTTAGCGGATTTTCAGTGTTTGACTGTATCAAAAATGCTTTTAATCTTATCACATGGACAGGCATAATAGAAAGGAATTTTTTTATTAATAAAGAAATTGAAAACTGACAATTTAAAAGGTTCATCTAATATGTCTTAATGCTTTATACACAGGGCTGGCGCTAAGCATTTTCCCCATCTGATGCAATCCCTGTGGGTCCTAAATTCTGCTGCCTAGTGCCTTTATAAATTTTGCTTTCAGCAAAAAGTTTTGACATTTTTAGATTTTCTGCTTGGCATGTCGCTAAATTCTAAAAATTCTGCCTTACCAGTTCTGTTATTGGCCCTTACCATATATATTTAGTATTTCTTCTGAATGTTCATATTACTAAAGAAATAGAATTAGCAGCTTTTCTATATATTCTACATGCATTTAGTTTTTTTTAGAACAAAAGAAATCTTTAATTAAATCCTAAAATTCTAAAATAAAAAGGAAACATGTTGAAAGAAAAAACTGAATACATAAAGAGAAACAGAGTGCATCTAGTGAGACTTAAAATAATACAAAACAACTTATAACCTTTGGTGCTTTAGTGGCTTATTGGAACCTTAAAGTATATTAACTCGGTTACAACCCCTGGAACTCTACACGAAGCTACAACACTAACTGCAGCAAAGCCAAACTAATTTTCCAAACTTGCCAACCATGCCAGGCCTTTCAGGTTTGTTCTGATTAGCAGGTCTATCTCTTGGCAAGCAGCAGCAGTGGCAAAAGCCAGTCTTTTGTTGGTTATGGTTTTACTACTTATTTTAACCTGCTTGACAAAATGAGAGAGGGGGGGAAATAAGAGAGAAGCTGTTAGTAAAACGTAAATAAAATGTCACTTATCTTCTTTCAAATATGCCCAACTAGTGCAAAATATTTAATGCTACTTGATAAATTTCATAAAGTTTATTTTATTCTCAAACTTATTAATAATTATGTTAATCATGTTTAATAATAAATCAGCCTACTTACGGATATATTTATTTTTAGGATGGTATAACAAAAGTGAATTTCAAGCCTAGATAATATTTTTAATTGAATTTATTCATTTCCTGTTTGTTCATAGGTTCTTAATTTTTTTCATTAATGGTCCTTAAAAGTCAAGTACTTAATTTCCGGTGGAGAAATGTGTAAGAACCGTGTAATCGGATTTTTTTAAAATCGTAGCATAATAATAGTCTGTGAATTGGTTTACCTATTTGATTATTGAGACTTCATATTTGTTTGTGTTCATAAGATATTTTACTTCACAACATGGCACTTTTTAATGGCACTTTTCTTTCTGCCATGCAATCTTGTAGAATCTAAGCATCTTATTATTACGGCTGTATGCATGTTTAAATGATTAGCTCATTCTGTCATTTATTTCCATTAGCAATGTGTGGCACGAAGATTACAAAAAAGAAACGCAAAACTATGTATCAAAGTAGAGCAAATGCAGGTATGTTTCTGTTTTTTAGTTTAAAGAGAGCTTTTTTTTTTTTTTTTTTTTTTTAAATTTTGTAACTTATGTATTTAATCAGTTAGTTTTGAAACATTAATTTCATCCCAGTTTCTTTTGTTATTCATATCTAAAAGCAGTTGATCCATTGCATAGGATATATATGTGCTAATTTTTAATCTTCATGAATATGTTTTGGAGATTGAAATTTATATATAGTAGAATGATCAGCTGAGAAATCATGTTTTTCTGTGTCAAATATTTTGGAGTATATCTTAGAGATGGAAATATATTTATGCATCAGCTGAAAAATCTTGTGTTTTCATGTTGAGCGTAATTTCTGTGTCAACTAATAACCACTGTTTTAAACAGACGTCTTTCTTGTTGTTACAAAACTCAGCATGTTTCTTGAAATGTTTTCTTATATTTTTTGGAAATTGATTTAAAGTTTGTGTTGTCACAAATAGAAGAAAATGTTACTTTTTGCATTTTTTTGTGTGATTTCTTTATGAAGACTTCTCGAAAGTAATCATTTATGTTTTAAGAGGGGAAAAGTAGAATTATTTAAAAAATGTTGTAGTAATTGATTTAAAGTTTGTGTTGTCACAAATAGAAGAAAATGTTACTTTTTGCATTTTTTTGTGTGATTTCTTTATGAAGACTTCTCGAAAGTAATCATTTATGTTTTAAGAGGGGAAAAGTAGAATTATTTAAAAAATGTTGTAGTAATTGTTAATATTAGAATAAGTGTATACTGTAGGAATTATGACCGTAACTGAGTTTTATATAATGGCAAAGTGCCATTGAATGGACATGCAGAGAGACAAGAGGTCGATGATGATGAGAGCAGGCGCATAAAGTGATGATTTGTCTTTTTTTTCCCTTTTCTTTTCATTCTAAAGTGTATAAATATACCCTAATTTAGCAATAACTTAATGAGTTTTAATGGTGATTATAGTTCTGCTTATTCATGTCTTCCCTACAGTACTGAAATTTAAAAAAAAATGTATGTTTAATTTTCCTTTTTTTTGTGTATGTGTTAAAAAATGTAAAAAGTTATAGTTGCTTTTTTGTTTCTGAAAAATAAGTTTTTCTCCTCTAGAATTTGATAAAGCTGAATTGCTTTTGTATGAAGAAGTTGCACGTATGCCTCCATTTGAAAGAAAAACTCTTGTTCTTCTTGGTGCTCAAGGTGTTGGGCGTCGATCCATGAAAAATAGGTTAATCAAAGAGGATCCAGCTAAATTTGGAACTCCTGTTGCTCGTATGTATAGAATTGTTTTGGTGAGAAACAATTCATTCCACATGTGATTATCAAACTTTAAACATCTTTATTTTTCCTAAATTTATAATAAATATGGGCTTTTTGATGCATATTGTGGTATCTTTGTTGAAAAGTTCATATTTTGCAGATACTTCAAGACCTATAAGAGAATCGGAGCAAGATGGAAAGAACTATTTTTTTGTAACTAGAGAAGCAATGGAGGCTGATATAGCTGAAAATAAATATTTAGAGTATGGCGAGCATAATGGTCATTTGTATGGAACGAAATTGGAATCTGTTAGAGCCATAATTCGTGCTGGCAAAATGTGTATTCTAGATTGCAATCCTCAGGTACGGAAGTATTTAATTTTGTTCATTATGCTGTGTGAATTTGAAGTTTTCTTGTGTATTAGCATACATTTGATTTGTATACTGTTTTATAATTTTACAAGTTTTATTTTTATGTGTAAAATTTTTCTGTGCGCATCCTTCTAGTGCTTATTTTAACAGTACATCAGATGTCCTATCTATACTCTACTTTTACAAAAAATGTTAAGTGCTTAACTTCTGGGAGCACCTGCTGCATGTGTAGTAAATAGGTTGTATCCTTGATATGGTGGGTATGTGGTGCAGATTTTTAAGATTACTGTGATCTCATGCTCACACAATCTGTGTATTACCATTTGTGAAATAGCCATCAATTCTAAGGACATGTGTAAGGACCATGGGCTGCATATAATCTTCAAAAGCATCTAGCATCCTGCTGCTACAGTGCAGGCATCAGTAATGATTAGAAAACATCAATCTGTCATCTCTCCAAAAGTTTGGATTCGAAAGCCACACAGTTTCCCAAAATGCCTTGAAAAAGGTATTTTCTTCATTATAATTTCAAAATACCTGTTGTTTTGTATCTGAGCAACTTTTTTCCAAATAAAATCATTAATACACTGCTTTACATTAAACATACACTGCTTTACATACATTACAGTTTGGTATGAAGACAAAATGATTACACTTGTGAGCATTTTGGAGGTTTATAGGGGTGCAAAATTAGTGGGAAAAGCTCCCTTCCCTGGCAGCTAAAATGTTCCTTACCCCATTAGGTATGGAGTCAAACTGGGGTTGGATGACAGAAATGGGCAACTCATCCATGCTGCTGCAAATTTATGCCACACTTCATCAACCATATTAGCTGGAGAGGGATGGCAGGTTAGTCTTAGCGACCCAGGGCCAAAAGTTTTCAATGGGCGACAGATCTGGAGACTGTGCAGGCCAGGACAGCAGTTGAATATGCTGTGTATCGAGGAAGGTGAGATGATGTGCAACATGCAGTCTTGCATTATCTTGTTTGAATATGACATTTCAGATAGGACACAACCACTGGACATAAGATGTCAGAATTTTACCCATCTTCATTCAAATTACTGTCTATCCGAACTAGAGATGTGCATGTCAGTACCCAATGGGCTGCCCAAACCATCACACTAGATGTAGGGCCCCTATGCTGATATCGATGGAGGTAGGCGATGTGCGGTCTCCTCGGATACTCCAGACTCATATACGGCCATCAGAATACTGCACATAGAACTGGGACTCATTTGAAGAGGCGACATTGTGCCACTCCTGTACCCAGCTTTGTTGTTTGGCACACCAGAGGCTATAACTCTCTATGCTTCATTGTGAAGGGAAGCCAGAGTAATGGTCACCATGCTGATAGTCCACACTGCTGCAAACATCAACGCACTTCCTTACTAGCTGGGCGTGCTGCAAACATACCCATTTCCTGACTGATAGGTCCATGATGTGGTTGTATGGTTTTGCAGGGCTTACCTCACAATATGCTTGTCCTCTATGGCATTAGTCATGGTGGGCATAGAGATCCTGCATGCTGCACCCATAGCAATCCATTGAATCCATATTTGCATGACAGTGGTTGGATGTCGACCAGTGTGACCGGCGATATCATGCAACAATATTTTATACTTTTGATAGGCAATGCATCCTGCCTATCAAATTTCAAAACTTGCTGGTAACCATTTCCTCTTCTTATTTGGGGCATAACATGAGAGCACTTTCCACAATCCACTACACAAATTTTATGCAGTACTTCAGATTTCTTTTCTCTCTCCTGCATCGTCTAAATGTGCAGAAATACTAATCATTTGCATATTCCATTTTCATCTTGCTTTATGTGATTTTTGACATTCGTCAGATCCTTCCTGGTTTTGTGATTTTAATTGCCAGCAATGTAGTTTGAACATATTTCAAGATGCATGCATGTGCATGAAATTATAAACACGAGTGAAAATATTCGTGGATGTGTACGATTAATATATATATATATATATATTTTTCATGTATTAGCAAGTCTTCCAGCACTAAATTTGGCAGTTTTATCGCGTGTTTACAGTTTTTCCAGTTATTCCAGACAAATTTCTTATTATTTATGTAGTACTATGTTTCAATATTTTGTGGAGCTACAGCTCCTGGTAACTTTTTAGCAAGTTTGCTGCAATGTTCCTACCTACTACTATAGTATTTTTAGTGGTAGATTCCGAAAATTTTAAAAATATTCATGTAATTTCCTCCTTTCTCAGTTCGTAGAAAATAAGCATCTTTAAATTTTAAAATGGATCATTTTGTTTTGTTTCATGAACAAAGACAGACCAAGTATATCCCTTCTAACTGTTCAACTTTATGCAAGCCTAATACAAGAACTGATGAGTCACAGCAAAGCAAATACAAACTGACATTCAGTCTACAATTTCACCAAGTCAACTGCACATTTACCTTCTCTAACCCCCCCCGGTGGTCGATGTACAGAACTCTGCGAAGCTACTGTCTAGGATATGAACCTAGGCAGTCTTGGCCATGGGGGTATATAAATCATGAACCTAGTGGTTCTGGAGGCCCAGAAAAGGTATAATTTATTGGCTGGCCCAACGGTCTGGTACATCCTAGAGCAGTTGGCTCTAATAGCCCAGGTTTGCTGGGTAATGTCTCTCTGCAACCAGCAACACGAGCGACTGGCAGGTAGCAAATCATAGTCAATCATCAGTGTCGCAAAAGCGATGCGTCTCTCTTGCCAAGGTTCAAGGGCAGGAGTCGGAACTCTTGTGCCCTTGTTCTGAGGGGGAAAGGGACTCTTAATGCCCTAAGGCAGAAAGAGGAATGCCCACATTGCTAGGCTTACCTTCTGTAATTATTTATGGATGATTTGAGGACTAAAGAATAGCATAGACAACGATAAGAATGGGTAAGATTTTGGTTGCAGAGTAGAAATGAAGTTATTAGATATTATCTTAATATTGTTCTGTGTTCTTATTGCCGATATTGTTCTTATTGCAGATTTCCTTTAAAGAAATGATGTTGTGATAGTTATCTCTAGTTTATCTGTGACTATTCTTCATTTGTTATGTTCTTCCTGTAAATATGTTCTTCAAAAATGAAATTGTTTGCACAATTTCATGATTTTTGGGAATTAAAAGTAGTATAAAGAAGGGGGAAATGTAATATATAACCTGGCTGTTAGGGTGGTTGACAGTCTGTCCACACACACACTTAAGACCAAAACAGTCCTTTACATTGCCATATAATCTTCACAAAGTGCAGGCTGAATACTTCTGTGATCTTCCGAGTTTCTGATCATGTATTACCTTGAAATATCCATAAAATGTGAATTATGTTTTAGAAACTATTAGGTTTTTCAGAGCAGGAAATATGAGTAATAAATTGTGCCTTCTGTGTGATTAGAACCATGGATCTTCCACTTGCCTGTTGGACAAGCTAAGCATTTAATCACGAGTGCTTACTGGGTTATATGATAATTTCTTACATTCTTCTTCATGTAAAGGATGAAGAAAGAGAGGCACGAGACTCAGTTGACTAGATCTAGTTATTCTATCTCAGTTTTTGTGAGAGTGGAACTTAGTAGAGTGAGTTCATTGATGATTGTTATGTTCATTCTTTGTGGCCAATGTGGAGCTTAGTGAAGGTACAGTTCAGCTTCTATTACATGCAGTCATTATCTAAAGTGTTGATCTTTGTTGTTTTTGCTAAGTAAGCCTAAAAAGCATGTTAGGTTCCAGTCTTGCAGTATTCTTTTTTGGTGTGATTGTGTCTCATTTTTGCAGTTTTCCTATTTTGTTTCTGTTGTTGATATACCACAGACACAATCTTCTTGGGTACATCTACTTGTAAATTAATAGCTTTAGTGATGACCTTTTTATGAGACCTAATTGTGAACCTTCATATAAAATTACTAATATATTTATGCATACCTCTGTTTCAAGATACTAGCACTGTACTAAAGTCATGCTTCAGTATGTAGCAAAATTGTAGGTAGAAATCCCAACCAATGAGTTATGAAGAATCTTAGCTTCTAAGTAATACTCTTTTTAATGCGTTTAGTAAATGACATATTCATTATATACATGAAAGCAGATTTAATAAAATCACTGAGTAATCAGTTAAGTAAAATATCTGAACAGCTTAAAATGTATTTACTAACTTAGTATATGTGCTTTCAATTTTATAGATTTGAAAAAAAAAATATGATAGAAAATGAATAACATTTTAACACGTTTTGATTTAAGATAGCAACATAATGTAATGAGTTAAGGATGTTCCTCTGATGCATGGTTGTTATATAGCAAACTGATCTGAAGCAGAAGTCTTCTGTGTTGATTCCAAGCAATGGTATTGCTCATTGTTAAGCATTTCGTGTAACTAAACTCATTCTGTGTCTAATTACCTTGCTTTTTTTTTGTTCTTGCTGTCATAATTTGGCATGTGAAATTTTTATCACATTTTAAAAATTTTCAGTTGTATAATTTAAATTGTGTGTGTGTATATATATGGATATCGAAATGTGATTGAACAGAAAGAAATGCTTAAAACGTCATGTAAAAATATGTATCATTTACTATACTTTTAGCATGGTTTCTAAGTCAGGATTTTTCTATTATTACCCTAATTTCAGTTTGTAGCTATTTTTTCATTATGTAAGAATAAAATTTGTAAATGAAATAAATAGAAGACTGAGTTGCTCAAAATATCATTTTATGTAAAATGTTTGAAAAAAATGGCGACTCTAAATGTTGATCTTACATTTACAGATCTATTTATAGAGTTCCATAAAATAGCATAGAGAATTCCATGGAAGATTTTTTAATACTATGGTGGGAGAATTTTTTAAAGGACTTTTTATATTCTTGACTTAGTGAAGGAACTCCAATTAGTGAATTATTCGTAAGGCATTAGTGAATTAAAGTTTCATACTTTATGTAGAATTCTCAGAGGTATTTAAGAGTGAATGTTCTTTTCATTGATTTTAATTCAATATATATTAAGCAAATCTTGGAAGCAGCTGCAAAACAAAAGTTTCTTGTTCAGTGGTATCCAACATAAGTAAATCATCATTCAATGGTACATTTGTAGCTGATCCCATAAAATTATTTATTAAGTACTTTGCTTAGGATTATGTACTTAAAGATATGAAAATGTGTGATTTTTTAGCTCTTTAAGTATAATAAATATTTGGATTAAAATTTTTGTACATGTTTGACTGTTTGAAATTTTTTCTCTACTGGGACTGTTAGTATTTTTATTATAGAACCTTTGTATTAACAGTGTTGAAACTGTTCTAATGAAGTCCACTACCATATTTTAAGAAATTTAGCAATTGAAAGTACATGAATTAAGATGTATGGAAATAACATAGGGTCATCATCTTGCATGTGTACTTCAGAAAGTAGATCAGTTTTCATGTGTGACAATTTATGTAATTATGTGATTATAATTATTTTAAAAAGATGAATGAATTAATTATGAGGTTATCTGTTCTTGAGTATGTATGGAAAAGAAGATTACCATGCTTGTATTTAACTTTTAAAGAAAGCAAATAATTTTTAGTTTCAATTGTGTTAAAATAGGCTCTGAAGATTCTTAAAACATCTGAATTCATGCCTTACGTCGTATTTATTGCTGCTCCACCTATAGATCAATTGAAACATATGCATGAGTTTGGCAGGCATCATAATTACAGCAGTAAAAACCTCACGGTGAGTGATTTAATATGCTTAATTTTTTAGGTTAATAAGTACTTTAGTTCCTTTTAGACATATTGTTTATTTAATTTTTTTCTATTATTCCTCAGTAGTGTTACATTCTCTAAGTTATGCATGTTATTTAGCTGATTTTTTATTTTTGCATGTGTGTTTTTATTTTTGGGTTGCAGTTTGATCGTGCTATGGGTCGGCATGGATCAAGACGTGCCAGAACATTGGAAAGCTTAGCATCATTATATGAGGTATGGGAATGCTTCTGAATTTTTTGAATGCATGAGTCAAACTATTTTCATTTTTTAAAGTTAAAAATTTTCTTGATTGTTGTATCTTCAAAAATTGATATAAGAAGTATTTCATGAGACAGTTATCATAGTTCATACACAATGCCATCCTTCATGCAATAATTGCTATTTTAATTTTATATTACCAATTGGCATTAATTACTTAGGATTCACAATTGTTATATGTTGTTTTCAAGCTTCAATTATTATTTTTGAATAGTTAGGCAAGTTACAAGTGAACATCTTACCTCTTCAGAAATAATATATATAATTACAAATCTTGTGTCTATGCTATAAATATAAATTGGTTTAAATCATTGCGAAAGACTATTTAGCTTCTGATATGCCTTTCATTGATGACTTAATAGGTTGGTCTATTTATTGCTTACTTATAAGATAAAATTTGAAAAGTTCTGTGCAGTAATTTATACAGTATATAGGGTGAAGTTGCTAATATTTAACTATTGTCTATAATGTATTTAAGCTAAATAATTTTGATGTTCTAATCTTTACAGAATAATACTGAAATTTATTCTTAAATTAATACAGTCATGATTTAGTTTTTTATTTCTGTGCAAGTTGACTAATCATTGTGATAACATTGCAGGGAAACCGTGCGACTCAATTACGGTACAGAATCTGTTTAGGGCTTTTTGGCATAAACTTTATTATAGAAATAGTAAAGCTGCAAGTTCTATGGTGCCATTTCTCTTTAGCAAAAGATCCTGCCCAGCATAGAGAATTGTAAAGATTACATTCCTTACATATTCTATAGAAATGCATTTTTAGGCAAAAAATTTGTTTTACTTCTCATATAAAACAAAAAGAAATCATGCTAGCAAGACAAATAAACTGCTACCTGTTTTTTTAAATTTATGACCATATCATTTTCAAGCATGTCTGAAAAGAAGGCACATTGATTGTAAATAAGTGCAATTGGAAAGATTCATTAACAAATGAGATTAAATTTGCAAGAATGCATCAAACAAATGTTTCATTCACTACATAGCAATTTTTTTTTTAATTGTTGATCATCCTGAGCATTAAATATTACAAAAGCTTTTCAAAACGACAGTTATATTTTATGGGGAAAACACTGATTTGCTACATCTTTTAGGACTTCAGACCAAATATTATAAAAAATAGTACCTGTGCCCATGGGTTGTAAAAGGTAGTCTCTCTCAAAAATATCATTCTGTATTGTTGTCCAGTTGATCTGTATGATAGTCCAGCTGAAAAGAGGTGCTGGAAGCTTGTTGCATTTGAACTTGAAATACCATTTTGCATCATACAGTTGCTATGCTTATGAAACAAGCCCTTGCTAGCAAATAATAGATAAACTGAAAGGAAGCATGGATGCTGAAAGTTGCATATTGTACTAACCTAGGAAAAAAATTGATGACAATTTAGACATGAGGTAAAAATCAGAAAGCAGTTCTTAGTGTATGCACGATTGTAATCTAAAGAAATACATTTACCCTGCTTATCATACATTTAATAATTTCTGTGTTTTCTATGATAGCTGTAGTGGTTGCTGATGGTTGTTGATTAGAAATTCCAGAATCTGTTGTCAAAACCTGCATACTATGTGTATTTACTTGTATTTATTTGTGTAATTTTGAAGCAAAAATTATGAAATGTATGCTGGTTATTTCATTTAGACTTAGTGTGAATTTAATAGTGTAGCTGGAAAATTATTCTGCATGCTGTCTAGTAGCTGCTCATTACAGTAATCATTTTAACAATTTGCGGCATGCTACCATTTAAAGTTGGAAGAGTAGAGGAGTCAATAGGTAAAATTTTGTAAAGATAGCACAGTGAATGTGCCTGAAGTGGGATTACTGAATGAATGGAGCATTGCTGGGAAGAACATAATAGAGTAAAAGATTTTGCTATGATTAAAATATACTAGATTATTATTACCATAGCAGATTTAGGATTACCCTGGGTGGAGCAGGGGGAGGCTTGCAACCCTACATTCCCCAGAAACGTCTTCTTGTGTATATGATGAATACATGCATATGAAAAAAGGAAACTTGGCTATATGATATTTACATTATTTGCATTTCACTCACATTACATTTTACACTTTCGTCTATTTTTTCATGGTTGTACTTTATGAAGCAAGTGACACCACCTTTGAAAAAGTGCAACCCAACATTTCATGCTTTGCACATGTACCAGGACCCATATCAGATTCATTACCTCAAAGCAATTCGTTTAGCATTTTCAGCACTCCAGAAATGGTCAGCCCTCCCCATGCATTTGCAAAATAATTAAAAAGTCAGGAAGAATAAACTAAACATCTAAACTCAAAACTATCCAAACATAGAGCTAACAAAACTTCAATTTCTTACCTAATAGCAAAACCTTCCCTCCAAAAAAACAGAAAAATTAAAAAAAAAAAAAAAAAAAGGAAATGAAACATGAGTGTGCATCTACTTTTCTGTTGTGAATGAGCTCACCAAAGAAAGTACTATATTGAAATAAAGATACAGTTGTTGTTTGGTCCTGGTGTTTTAGTGATCCTACTCTGGGCACACCAGATGTTCGTTATTCGATTTGAGGCAGGATTTCAAGGTACAAATTTAAAACTAATATAGAATAAGATTAGCATACACCAAAGAAAATAACATGGAAATTTCTTTTCAAACAGTTCTTTTTATATTCAACAATTCCTTAAAAAAATCTAGAAGATTTCTCTGAAAAATGAGGTTCTTTAAAAACTGAACATATCTAAAATATATGGACTGTTGTGTGTTGTGCTGTCATCTAATATAAGTAAAGAAGGCTAAAAGTAACCTATGAAGCTTTTTTCATGAATTTATGTGTAGAGGGAATTTGGGCACCATGCCAGAAAGAGTTAAATAATGTGCATATGAAAATTTAGTTTGTTTTCAATGGCATAAGAACTACATGAAAACTTTTAGAGCTGATACAACTGAAAGAAGTCATCTCATTTAGATTTCCTGGCAAAATTATTAGCATTCTTATTCCATTGCTGTTTTTAAAACTTTTATGTTTAAGAAATTTTTAAAAAAAAAAAAAAAAAATTGCTAGTGTGAAAGGGCATTGTAGAACTTGCGACTTTAATATGTCCATAATTTTAAGGTGTATGTTGAAGACTTAGAAACACTATGCATATGGCATTATCTATTACCTCCTTAAACATTGTAATAATGAGTACAACACAAGGTGTGGGTAAATCCTTAAAAGATACAGCATTATCATATAATATGAGATATATATACTGCTGTTCCATTTAGTGTTTACTTATTAGGCTGTTAGTGTTTTTGGGTTAGGCTCCTGTAATGATTTTATGAGAGATTTTTAAGAAGCTTTTTAGAATTTTTATGCACAGCATGAATGAGAATTTAGAATCTTAAAATTCCTTGTTTGTTTTTTAATTTATCTTTGTAAAACAAGAATAGTCCACCATCAGCTGGATAAGGAGTAATTCTGCTTATCATTTTACATTTTCAGAGTCCTGAAATATCTCAGCTAGCTGTATAAGTTATTTGGTTTGTCCTGTTTCTATTTAAGGGAGAATTTTTTATTATTCTGTCATCTTCAATTTGTATTTTTGTTGTGCTTTAATTTTCCTTTGGAGAAAAACTGTTCAATTATCCTGATTTATGCAGGGAAAAATGGGGTATATACTCAATTTCCACATAGCTTGTTTACTCCAACATCCTGTTTGATGATTTTGCAGATGAGTTCTTTATTTTTTCTAAATGAATAAATGAATTCTAAATGAACAATTGAGTAAAATTTTTAAATGGGTTCTTTTCTTTCTTTAAAAATGAACTGCGAGTAAGTCAGAGGTTAAAATTATAAAATTTAATTAGCTAATGTTTATAATAAATCAATAAGAAATCTACTGAGGTTTTTTTTCATCAATTTTGTTAAGAGGGCATGCTTTAAAATACATGAGCTTATATTTCATACAGCATAAAATAAACTGTAAAATGCACCACTAAAGGCGCAGTTTGTTTGTTAAACCCTCCCAGTGGCCTAGTGTGTAACCCCAAACTCCTGAATTCCTTTCCCCAAAAGACCTTCAATAAGAGTTATGTTTTTAATTCCAAAATGAACTGTCTAATATGTACCTTTACTTATTTGTCCATTATATATGCTATTTTAATTGTCTGGACACATTTTAAAGTGCAAGTCCTGATGTTTAAAAAATGTCAAGAATATTTTTAAGCATATATGTGCAGTTTCACAGTTTAGATTAAATAACTTAAAATATTGAATTACTAGGCTATTTAATGAATTCATATCAGCTATATTTACTACAGGGGAGGGAACTTCTGTAAAATGTTTTTGCCTCTAGTTTTATAAATCAGTCGCTGACTATTGTGTTTCCAGAACTATGTATTTGGCAGATTTTGATGAGACAGTGCAAAAAATTAACTATTTCCTGTCTTTTCCCTGAGTAGCATATGCAACTGTAGAATGGTAGAGAGTTCAATTTTTTAGCATGTAAGCTGTCTTTCCCAAAGTGTGATCTCATCTTGGAATTCCTCAATGACTATCCAGGTTGCTATATTTTACCTGTTTTAACTGAAGTATTTTAAACCAAATGATTTTTTAAATATATTTGGCATTGTAACTATTACCCTTAAGAAAAAAAATTCGCGATCTTCCACCTGTTTAGATCGTAAACAGATGTATTTGGAAATATTTTGAGTCTCGTTTATTGAGAGCATCATTAATTTGATGCTTTAAACAAAGAAAACTCAGTAATGTTCCTTATTCTAAAGCCATCTAAAAATAATTCATGTAAGCAAACTCAAACTGCCATTTAAAATAAGACTGCTATGTAAATAATAAATTATTTCTTTCTGTCTGTAGATTACATTTTAAAATTGATAAAATCTATTTTTTTTTTTTTTTTTTTTTTAACTCTAGAAGTCACTGTTAATGGTTCCAATGATGCAATGTGTGATGAATATTAACTGTTTAATTCTGTTAGATTTCTGTGTGTTTGAGTATCTATCACTTTCATTTTCATGATTTACTAATTTTTATGCTATAGTTATTATTGTAACATTTATCGTAATTACTTCGTGATACAGGAAGAAGATTTAAGAAATACAATAGAAGAAAGTGCAAGATTGCAGCGTGCATTTGAGAAATATTTTGATTTGGTTCTTTTGAATACAAATTTTGATAAAACATATGAACAGCTGAAAGAAGCTATAGAATCTCTATCAACAGAGCCTCAGTGGGTTCCAATATCTTGGGTTTATTAAGCCCTTGCTCTCTTTTTTGAGTAAATATGTTTTATATCAAGATTACTGAAATCAATTCTAGTTTTTCAAATGAGAGATCTGTTTTTAAAGCTGTTCTTTCACATATTTGTTGCATTATCTTTTGTAAATTAACATGAATCCACATTGTTAATTATACCAGAAAAGTAAAAATGCTGTCTATAAAGAATAAAAAAGTATCTTCATTAATGGAAAGGAATGCTTAATACAGTTCTACAGCAGATCTTGAAAAATGTGCTTGACGTTTTGCATGCTAATTCATGTTTGTCTTCCATATTTCTGTAAAAATTCATTCCTCATAATAAATTACTTGTTTGTTGATAAAAATGTATCAAAAAGCACCAAAAGTTTTTATGTATGAAATAAAATTTCTTTCAATAAAATGCAGTTCATTTTGATAGATGAAAAATAATGAAATCATGAGTTTTGTAGGTTTCACCCTGTTTATTTTGCATGTTTAGTTGAAATTTATAAAAAATTTTAATTATTTGAGAGTTTATTTTAATAATTACATTGTAAATATAAGGAAATACTTATCATTCTGAGTGAAGTAATCTATTAATGTTGTACATAAAATATGTTCTATAGTATATATTGTCACATGAAAGAAAGTTATATGTCATGCATATTTTTCATGCTAGTTGATTATGCAGTTGGGCATAAAAGTTGCATTACATATTTCTAAAAACACTGCCAGTCTGAATTTCTATACAAAGTGTGGCAAAATGAGTTTCAGGGCTTCAGTTGTAATGTAAACTTAACGGCTAAAATTTATTAGTAAGTAGTTTTGAAAGAATTACACCAGGACAGCAATATTATAATTGTTTTGTGACTAGATTTGAAACAGTTGTTCTGAATAATAAAATTTCAAATAGAATTCTCAGAACATTAAGTTAGAATGGAAGTCTGTGTTTAAGAGGAGGGAAGATCCCATTCCCGTGAAAAAAATATATTTAGTATTGATAATAAATAATTCTAAATTTTTTTATGCGTGAAATTATGAGATAAGCAGTATAGTAAGTGAAACAAAAGTATGCAGGGTGTTTGAGAATATTTTTTCAAATACAACCAAAAATTGTTTGCATGTTGAGGAATGCGAAGCAAAGTTTTTTAAAATAGCCTTTTATTATGAACATGTCAAAGGATTCCTTCTGGTTCTACTTTTTTAGCAAGTTTCTTTCTAGAACTTTTAACTGTAGAAAGTATACAACTTTTATTTGTAGAAGGCTGATGAACATTATTACATCATAACTGATAGAAATAGCCATAACATTTATTCAAACCACCACATAATATTCATTTGCCTATAGACATACATAGGCAAATACATGTCATTTCCCTATGTATGTCTTACATAGTCAATTGATGTGCTGCAAATGGCAAACGTCTGTGCCAATGTATGAGAATGTTTGACCCCACGTCAAGTAACTGCAGTACCTGAATTTGAGGACAGAGGAAGACATTTACATCAGAAAACCAGCTTGGTTGAATGGAAACTGTCAAATTTAGGGGTAGGAATTAACATTTATTCCTATCAAATTAAATATTAGTGAATAATAATTATTTTCATCTTTTTTTAAAAGCGTTAGGGAATTATCATCTTCATCTTTATTGCCATTATCCTGCCTCTTTCCACATTAAAGTATTATCTTACTGTCTTCACCTAAAAGGTTGCATTATTTTATTCTGATAAATAAAACCTTGAGTCACGTTATTTATTTACGTGTACTTAGGGAGATTACTGATTACGTCTGGTCATAAAAAATATGACTAACTTTTCATTTTAGGAGTTTTTAAAAGTAGAACTGGCATCAAAGATAGGAAGAGAAGCAAAGTAATTAGCTTTTTGTTGGTCTGATTGTCAGGCTAAAAGAAAGTTTTACGTCTAAGAATATGCTTCATTAATAGCAGTTCTTTATCATACATTTGACTAATAGTTTAGGAAGCAATCTGATAGTGTTTTAAGGGAACATATAAGAGGTTAAAAAATTTATAAAAGAAAATGCTGCTTTCTAGTATTCACATAAGCATCTCATATATATGTAAATATATACATATTTATACATGTGTCTTTTCTATTTGTATATATATATATATATATATATATATATATATATCTTTTCTATTTTCATACAGACATGTAATATAAGGCAGCTATTTTTAAAATAACGCATTATATCCTAGTTGAGCTTTTATTAAACATTCAGAATTTTGAGCATTATTTTAAAATCATCTTTCTGTGGTATTTAGGCAAACCTACACTAATAAGGAAATCTTAATTATCTAATAACAACAGTTTACACTTGCAGCTTTTTTTTTCATGTGTACACAAATGCATGCATGCATAGTTTCAAGAAATGATTTATAGAAGAGTTGAGGCATTAGTTAATCTCATGCTAGTCATCTTGTTGAGATATTTTATTTCTACTCTTTATTTGCAATGCTGTAGTCCTGGAGCTTACTACCACTTTGTAGGTGCTTCTGTTAGTTATGTTTGACAGAATGCTGGAGATTTCTAGCACAGAGTATCAAATTTGAGAAATGTCTTATTTTTGTTAACATTATTAAGCTGAATTTGAATATTCATTAAGCAGTTATGGCTTTACACCATGCTTTTATATGTGTCAAAGCAGATTGGCAGTGCAGTCTTATTTTCCAGTCATTGTTATTAATTGAATAAATTTATTTGAAATATAAATGATTTAGAAACTAGATATTAGTTTTAAAAGATATCCTACTTGACCATCTATTTTTTAATTGAGAACTTTATAAGCAGAATTTTTAAATTTTTGACAATCACAATTTAGCATTCCATTTTGTTTGCGCTTTAACTCCATATATTTATATTCATAATGTTTTTATAGTGTATTGAATATTAGTTGAACAGTTCTAAGTTGTTACTGTTTGCTGATGTTAATATTAAATCTGGTGCTTAAATGACTATGTAATGTTATCAAAATAATTTATATCATTTCATTGTGTTTACAGATACACTGCAATGTTATTCTCACTCCCAATTTTATTGGCAGCATATTTTTCAATTAGTTAGAATTAGATTGTTTTTTTAAATATTTATATATTTATAATTTTATCAGATATCAACATTGTTAATTTGTTGCCCTTATTTTGTTGAATTTGGTGATGGAATTTTTCTGAACTTGTTATACTTGTAGGTTGTATTTTTATGGTATGAAGATATGATTTTTAAAAATAGTTGAATAATTATTTATGGGGAAACAAGTTTTCACTGTCCTCTTTTTTTCAAGGTAGCTTTTCATATTTCAAGTGCTGAAACTGATTGTTGACTTCCCCCCCCCTTGTATATAAGTATTTTTTATATGGATTAATGTGAAATTATTTTATTTGCTCTGTCTTAGCTGTCATGCTTTAAAAAATGTAATTTTGTATTCATAAAATTCTGTGTCTGATGAAAGGAGACGTGTAATTAAAATTTATAATATACAGTTTATTTTTAATTTGTACTTTCATTAGGAGAAGTAAATAAATACAATCTAACCATTCTTAAGTTTTGCTTTTCAGAGTGATTCCAAAAATATGACACTTGCAAAGAAGATATTTTTCTACATGATGTTTTATTTTATCTTTTATATTTTGATCATGCATTGTATTTACGTAGTCATGTGGTATTTGTTAAATCTAGATACCAAACTTCTAACTTCTGAGACAGCCCCAAGTTTTATAAATATATTTTATTTCTATTTTACATCAAATCCTAATTAAAGCGAAATGTTGCATTTTTTCATTCATATTTTGATCATTTATTTTGTTTACTATAAAAAGTGATTTGATAGGCTTAGATTTTTTTTTCTCCTGTGTATTGGTATTTTCATATACTGTTGATTCCTATGCATGATAATGTGCATTCAGTTTTTGAGCAAAGAATGAATTCATTTCAAAGGAAGTAAAATTGTGCTTTTAGAAATTTGTATATGTGTAAACTGTTTGATGAATTTTTATAATTCTCTGACCACATGTGGAATAATCTGATTTTTCATAAATATGAATGCAGAAATCCTTTGCTTCCTATAATTAATTCTGCATTCCTTCAAATCCAAAATGCTGCTTCTAATTTAAGTATGCAGTACCAGTATATGGTATTACATTTGTATTACTTTTACTTATAGTGTTTGCAGTTAATAATACCATGATACCGTATATATGCAACATTTTTAAAATAAATATTTGCTGTGGTTGATTTTCCAACAATAAATGTATACTTCACATTCAGTAAATTGTCAGCTATCTGAATGGTTGCTATATTCCTGAACACACAAAGTAATTTTAAAATGCTTGTGTTTCTACAATTTTGATGTCTTTTTAATGAGCTCTTTACAAAAGTTGATGCATTTACCTTGTATTTCTTACCATGAGCATACTTTATTCCTTTGTTTCCCTTTAATATTTAGTGCTGAAAGTAGATTGACTACTTGTTTATTGCAACTCCAAACAAGAAATATTATTTTCCTGCAATTGCTGTAATAATGGCATTAATAGCTATGGCACTACAGAAAATTAAAAATTAATTTTTCTAAAGCTGTCTCTTGCATCTCTTAACACAGTATTTGCTTTCATAGTTGTCATGTATTAATACTAAAACTGAGTGGGTTAGAAAACAGTAACATCAACAAAATGTAATGGAAAAGACTTGCTCATTTAAATAGACAAATACTGAATTCGAAAATCTATGGATTTTGTTTTGTATATTGTATTAATAAATTCAAATTCAGAGTGCTAATGTATTGAAGGTGCTTCTGAATTTCCATCTGACCATCTAAATCCCGAAAAAAAGTATAAAATTTGACACAAATAAATTTGAGGAAAATTAAAAAAATTATAAATTTTTAAATAAATTTAGGAAATAACAGTATTAATAAATTTGAAGAAATAACAGTACTAGTTCATATTTTGCAATTGATGTTTTAGTTACGCTTTCATTGTCAGTGTAGTATCTTGAAGCTTTTTATTCACTTCTTATTTACATTGAAGAACAATAATTATGTACTAAATTTCAATCTTAAAACATAAAAGTTTCTCTCAGTTACAATCCAAGATTTAGCAGATTTTTGTTTCTATTGAGTGCTATTATTTTAACATTCATTGTAATTTTTTTATTGGTAAACCATATTTAATAAATAGCATGAGTCATTTGAAGGCATACTGTTGTATTTATTCTAAGGATTCATGTTTTTCATGTGAACTTTTCAGTATAATTCCCTACATTAAGTAAATTAAAAACCATTTTTACTAATAAATTTTGTCACTTGGTAAGTTTTTATTTAATTTTTAGTTGGTGAAACAGTATTTATCATGGAAGTATGGGATTGGAGTGAAATTACCAGGATGCATTTGATGAATTGTACTACAGTCTTGATATATGAAGGATATTTCTGATCTGTTTTACATCAGTCATGCCTCATAATTTGTTTTAAATTTTGAAAGTTAACCAAAATTGGTAATCCATAAAGAGGCTCTAAATTTTTCAGGCATTAAGATTGCCTAATGATTGAAGTAAAATGTTAGTGCATAGTATATTGTTAGAGTGAGTCATTTGCTTTCAATTTATTTGTATCTTAAAAGGCTAGTATGAGAATTTTGTGGAACAAATTAGCATTGAAGAACATTAACTTGGAAAAGCAATCAACTGAAAAAAGTATGTAGCTTTGAAAATAGCTGAAGCTTGAATTAACTGAGGTAATTTTAAAACTGAGCAATCGTGGAGGGTTTTTGTTAATATGCAGAAAAGTTTTAAAATTTACATGTATAAGCAACTGAAGCTTTTTTTTTTTTTTTTTTTTTTTTTTTGAATCAATAAATTTCACCGTCGTTTGCATTATTGGTCACAGCTAAAATTTTGGCATTGGTAATTAATTGGTCAGAAGCTAGTAGTGATTTCTATGTGATTAAGAATAATTTTAATTTTATGTTGTGAATTTTAATAGAATTACATGTATTTTTTAGCTTATCCAGAATATAGCGTGTACAGAGAGGTTTGCATTTTGCCAAAACACCTGAATAAAATATTTTGAACATACTGTTTTATGCTTTGTTTTATTTTTAATTGTCTTGATTTACTATGCCAATGACAAAGGATTATTGTAAATTAAAGAATTCCTGGAAATGTACTGCACTTTAAATGAAAATTAATTACTGTCATAGAAGTATTTGCTTTTACTGAAAGCGCGATTTTTATATTTAAGCAAGTAAGAATGTTTGCTGTGAACTTATTTTAAATCAAAATGTTTTAAAATGTGTGTGCATAAAGCTACTCACTGAGTTTTCTAAGCATTTTGTTTTGCTTAAAATTAGCTAAAATTGCTGTAGAACCTTAAAAATAATAATTATGTGTGTTCATTATTTTTAAGAAATACTAATTTTTGAGTAATGAATATTCATCAGTATTGTTTAAAAAATTGATGGAAATAATAGATGTTCATTCATCACTTAGGAGTGCAGTAAAAACTTGACTATCCGGCATTCAGCTAACTAGAAAGCTTAAGTAACCGGAATACTTTAGAAAAAAATTCAGTAAAAGAGATATTTGTAATGCCATTATAGAGCTTGAAATACTATTAACATGTATACATGGGTGACAATGTCATTTAGCAACAAAAAGTAATTGATAAAGCATGACATTGCAACACAATCTTGAGATGTTCGTTTCAGTTTAATGTGAATTCGATTAATTCTTGCTAAGCCAGTTTAATTTTTGTAAAGAATGTTTTAAATTCTATTTTCCCTAGAATTTTCAAGGGAAAAAAAAAAGATTAATATTTGTTGCTGCATGAACTGGCGTATTTTCGAGAATCGAAGGCGTCAATAAAAGCCACAATATGTGACTTTGAAAACGAATAAACTGGCACTGTAACGTGAACAATTATAACGAATTTGTATCTTTTAATTACTTAACTAACTAAAGAATGATCTGTTCATTTCAACTTCTGCCACAATGATCAACAACATCTCCACCAAGTTTCATGTTTGGCATGATTTCATAATCAGATCAGAAGTTTAAAGCCTACAAAATACATTGGCTTTTATGTGCGAAATGCAACTTTTTTTAAAAATTTATTATAAGTGTATGATTTTGGTATTCAAGCTGGTAAGAATAATGTGACTGTTGTTTTTCCCTTTTCTGACTTATACTCAGAAAAGTGGTTACTCAGCTATCTGGAATTTGACATTTCTGAAGCTCTCCTGAGTATTTAATATGATCTGAAAAGTTCGAGCTCTATTATGTTATTCAATTAAGTATATATTCTAGTTTAAACTGCAAGTATAATCACATTGTGCATATTATAAGAGACATTTCCAAAGCTCTCGTGAGCATTTAATGTGATCTGAAAAGTTCGAGCTCTATTATGTTATTCAATTAAGTATATATTCTAGTTTAAACTGCAAGTATAATCACATTGTGCATATTATAAGAGAATTGATGTATTGACATGTTTTAGTTAGTTATTTAAAATTATTATGAAACTTATGAAAATATCTTCTTTTTTGGGAGATTAATGGGCCTGCCTGATAAAGGTTGCTTTTAGTGAATTATTTACTAAAGCATGATATGTATTTAAATGTAGATTAATTTCAAGTTTTAAAGACTGATACATATAGAACATATCCCCCCCCCCCAAAGTTCACAGGGAATGAGTGAATTCTTGTTTTCCTCTCAGATTATTTGATGTGATTAATTTATAGCTCAAAAATCCATTCTTTAATTTTGAAAGTATTTCATTGCAAAAAATTTGCTTCTGACTTTTTATATTTGTATATAATTCCAGTCCTTCCATACAACACTTCTTCATTGATATTTTAATTAAATTGTATTATTTGCATTCCATTTATAATCAAATCTTACTGTATTTGGCATATAAAGGGCAATTAGTCACTTTGCTTGTTTTACTATGCCCTCTTGTGATATATTAAATGCTGATTTTTTTATATTATCCTTTTAATTTTTGTAATTAGTTTATCAGAATTGTTTGTCATTTTAATTTAAATTAAATTTTTATATATGTTTTTATATTTTAGAGGTTCATACATTTTGTATTTAAGTGAATACCTCAGGTTGGATTTTGAGTCATTAAAGTATTGTATTTCATCTTATTTAGAAAAATATGTTTTTGGTAAAATATTTTAAGTGAAATCCTTTGTAGTGTGTACAAATGTTTACAATATCTAAAGCTTGTGTAATACCATATTTTTAAAGATAACTTTTGTATGAAAATATGAATAAACTATTCATAGGCACCTAGCTGTTTTTCTGTCTTTAAATGATAATACCTGCTGCAGACTGCTTTGAAAGCTTGAAAAGGTGAAATTGAATGTCATGTGAATCTGTGTGCTGAGGTATTGCCCAGGTTTTATGCGCTGCTGCAGACTAATTGAGATCATTACTCTTTTTCCATATCTAGGGCTGGTAAACAGTGTATTAATTTTAAATTACTCTTTTTCTTGGGGGGATATTAAATGATATATTTTATTTAAGAGTTGTGTTTTCCATAGTTTTAATGAGGTAAGTTTTAAGCACTGCTTGTTTTCTTTTTCTGTCTTAAGGTATTTGAAAAGAGCCAGATAAGTAAGTTGATAGTCATGGAAAATATATTTGTTCAGTGGATTCTGTTATGACAATTTTCCATTTCACATTGGTACCCTGGCATACTGCATCAGCCAAAACTGAAAATTATTCAAAGCAATATTTAGTGCTTGTTTTTAAATGTCTTGATTCATGCAAAACAAAGCGATCCACAAAAATCTCATATCTTAATTAAAGGACTGCGTCATACATTTGAATGCTAATTACTGTGAAAAACTATTTATACTATGGAGATTCAACTTTTAGATAATTTCAAGAAATACCAAATTAATTTCTCTGTCAGATCTGATGTTAGACACTCCAAGACAGATTTACCAGATTTTTTAACTCAATTTTTACTGAAGTCCTCAAATTTTCTCTTCTCTTACCTGCTTTCCCTGACATGTATATTGTCCCACCCTTATCATTTCTTGGTTTTTCTTCAAGGAGATTCAGTACCATTAATGCAAGGTATATAAGTGATTGATCTGATGGGACATGGAAATTGCTTTCACATGTGTATATATTTTCTGCATCATGTATTGCACCACAGGTGAGTTGACTGTAGTGTAACCTGTTAGTAAGTACTGTTGAGTGACGATTTTAAAATCTCTACGAGTAGTTTAGAAGTTTTGATGCATGTTTATTAACTTTATAGATTTTTAACTGCAGTGATCCAGCATTTTCAGAACTGAAGTGATAATATTCATTCCTGCTTGATGCAGAATTATAATATTACTTCTCCTTGATTTATTTTTAATCAATAAACTTTATTTGTAAAGTACTCATTGCTTGAAACTGCAAATTTTCTCTTTATTTGGCATGTTTTGGTGATCGTTATGTGCTGATAACTGTAATAATAAGAATAAATAAGTCAGCATTACGATATAAGAGCAGAAATATTTAGTTTGATCTGTACTAGAAGGAGAAATAAAAGCATACAATAACTCACTTTCCATTTACAGTTTGGGTGACACTAACTTTATTTCATTTTTATGTTATGCTTTACAATGAAACATTTTAAGTAACAAAACAATATTTATTAAATGTTTAGAAACGAAATGAATGTCTAAACTTTGAGCACTCGGATAATGACAAGCAATTATGTCGTTTGTTGCGCTTATTATGAGTAATTAGATTTAAAAAAGTTTTGAATAATCCGTAAATTCCCAAAACTGCAACCACAATTTCATTGAAAGGTTTCGCACCCAAATACCTCGAGCATAAATCACGAATATAATAATAAGTCTTTCAGTAAAAATGAAACAAGAATGTTCTTAAAAGGAAATAAATTAATTAGAATAATTCCTTCTGAAATATAAACAATGCTACATATTTTAAATTCTTTCAGGATAAACAAACTGCAAGTGCAGTGTATTGACAGCTATATTGTTCATTTAAACAATCAATTTTGAATATTATGAATGTAATGTATATACAAATATATTTGTATTGTCTTATATTCAAACTGGGTTATTTTTCTTTCATAATTAGTGAAATGGAATGAGCACATATCAGCATTAAAGGTTATAAAGAAATAATTATCTTGCATTAACAAAATTTAAAAAAACTGTTCACAAAAGTGTGCTTCTGACAATTAAGTTGCTGTGAAATTTTATGTAATAGTTGATATTTTGTGGTTATAGTAATGCAATAAACTGAAATAAAATGTGCGATTCGGTTGTCTTTAAGATTGATAAAACTGCGCATAAATAGATGAAAATTTAATAATTCACGACTTTGTTTCCTTTTCCTTTGATGAAGTTCATAAGTTAGTTTCTCATGAATCAATTGTGTATACACAGTTAGGTGAAATCGAAATTTTTAGTACAAACTTGCTGTGTTTTAGGTCATTTTATGTTGAACTAGAAGTTAAAATGATATATATAAATGGAATAGAAAGGCTGTCAAGTGACTTGTTTTTGAGCCAAGTATTCTGAGTATACGCTTTCTTTCTCTTGAAATGTAGAGTATAAATATTTCTGAATAAATAATTTTACTTCATCTTGTAAAAAGCCTTTCTGTTGCAGTGCATCTTATGCTGGTTTATGCTTTTCGAAAATTTTTATAGGATTTTGCAGTCGGGACAGTCTTTCTGTAAAGTCTGGATTAAAATATTTCATGTAGAATATCCCCCTCTTTTTTTTTTTTTTTTTTTTTTTTTATGTTTAGTTTATGCCTTATTCTATGCACTAGTAGGTTTCTCCTCTTCTTCCTTTTCATCCTGAAGTTGTCCTGGCAAATCAGAATTCCAAGCCATTCTAGAATGAGGATTAATCGTAGTCCATATTTTCACTGCGTCCGAATTCGAACAGCAAGGCGGCACACTACTACCATCTGGCAGTTCAGCCATGCCCGAATGAAAAGCGATGCATTTAATAATACTTTGCTCTCGATTTCGTATTATCTGACGGCTCCTTGAATAAGCACACCCGATGGCACCTAAAAGAATGATAAAGAACCCCCCACCAAGTATGAGCAGCGATACTTCCCAAACTTTGTCTTCCAGCTTCTCTGTAGTCTGCAGTCCAAAAATTATCATAGTGACACCTACAGTACCCAGAAGCAAGCCTCCCAACAAACATATGGTGGAAGCTGCGTACCAGGCCCATTGTTCTTGCCGCTCACTCATCAGGGGTCTTTCACCTGCAAGGAATTAAAAAAAAAAAACTGAAATACATCGTATTGCTATGTACTATGTGATAACTTGCTTTAAGCTATGACAAATTAAAAGAGCACAGGAAGAAAATATGAAATGTCCAATATGTTAAGCAATTGTATGAAAGCTTAATACAAGCATTAAAATAGACAAAACTAAAGCAACAACTTCCGTTGAGTAATGAAAATTTTCTCTTATTACATTTTACTACCCGGAAGAAGTTCTTAATAAATGACTGAATTTGACATTCAGTGATGGTAGTAACTCAAACTCATTGACAGACGATTCTTAACTAGATCATCTGTCTTAGGATCTACCCTGAACCAGTGCTCAGAAATTTCATGAATATTTTAAAGTAAAATGCAGCATATTTCACTTAAGAGGACAGATGAAAAGCTATAAATTTGGACTATTATTTAGATGTTTAAATGGTCTTTACATATCTCATTCTGAAATTCTGAGAAGAGTTTTAAAAGATATTTATGAAAATTTAAAGATAAAACAAGTATATAAGTAATTTTATACTACTAATGTTTTTAACATACTAATCCATATTTTTCTACTAACTGGAATTTTTAAACACACACTTAAGTATTTATCAAAAACTGACAAAACTGGTGTCTTGAAATTAGAGCAGAATGCAGGAAAAACTTCCCTTAATTTAATGAACCTATTTTAATTTGATAGTCGTAAATATTAAATATATATATATGTATAAATGTTATTCATCACAAATTACGTATTTTAAAACCCTAATTCCAAAAGTAAGAAATATCTTAAGATCCTAAAATCGCAAAAAATAAATTCATGGATGGATATCACTGATTTCTTACTGTAATAAAACTTGCTTGCACGTATATGTTAAATTTTTTCTCGAAGAATGTATAAAGTTGAGGAGGAGGGGGGGTAATGATTCGTAATCTAAATGTTGCACATTTTTTAAGAACTCAAACTGTCTAATTGTCTTAATATTTTAGCATTCTGTGCCTGCTCTTTTTTTTTTTTTTTTCCTTCTAAATCTTAGTTTTAAGCATTCTATCGGCAGAGTTTAAATTCTTAATTTCTTTTTCGCAAAATTTTAATTCATCTAATTTTCAAGTGCCACTTCCATGTATTTTCCAAGTACGAATCGCATAGCCTATACTTTGTTGAAAAAGATATTTTGGTACTCAGTTCAGTCAGAAAGCGGTTCTTACAGGGAAATAAATTTGAGCATATCAACGAAAAAAATAACAGTATGTGCTATCACTAAAGCAAACAGCAGCATTTAATTATAACAATAGTCGCAATAGCTCCCGAACTTGGTTTTAGATGCTCATTTCTCTAAACAGCTAATAAAGTTTTCGTTGGATTTGTTTAAACCCTTGCAAACATTTTTCAAGAGGTTTCCTGTTAGCAAGATTTTTGAAGGCTGGCACTAGTGCAGGGACAGTGTGTTTGTCTACAGTTTTAAATGCGTAATAATCCTCTTTATCGAAGCAAAAGATGTATAAAATACATACTTTTATAATCAGCAGATTTGAAGTAAAAATCGATTTTTTGAAGGTGTTTAATGTCTGCTTAAGGTTTTTTTGCAATAATTTGTCAGTGGCGGCCTGTGTATTCTTCTATACGTACGATGGCTAATTTAAGATGTGTTCTGGTTTTGTGGACTCTATACGTACAATGGCTAATTTAAGATGTGTTCTGGTTCTGTGGACTGCACGGCGTGTTTCATTCATCCAGTATTCAGTATATCCTAAAATAACTTTCAGTGTGTTCATATTAATTATGCATTTAAATAATTGTTCTCTTCCTATAAAATACTTGACATCATCACGACTTTTTTTTACAAGCATAGCATTCAGTATGGCCCTTCTGGACCTACCGATTAAATATTCGCCCGTCAGTCCTGACAACACGAGTAGCAATGTCGTTTTCTCCTTCTTACAAGAGGCATAACACCACCTTTACACAAACAATCAACGCTCAAATGCAATTTCCAGATGAGAAACCTGCTCTGAAGTTTTCCTACTTGTAA